GGCCTACCATGAGAATGATGTTGGGATGCAATCACATGTTGATAAATCATTCTCCCTTTCCCAAAAGCCAGAAAGAAAGACACAAAAACGAAGATCTTACAAGAATACAAAGTTAGAATGCACTGGACTGGTAAGATAGCAAATTAGTTCAAGGAATACCAGTGGCCATTTAGCGACAACAATGCCACTCAGTTACCAGAAAGATAAAATCAAAAGAGCAGAATGTAGTCAAAAAGTAGACCCAGAATCAGAATTTGAGCTTGTGAATCTCTTTATGTATTTTTTTTTAAATCCACAATTAAATTGTAGGTCAAACTTTAGAAAAGCTGTTTGTTTATTTGTAAATAGATATGCCAAGGATCTTAAGTATAAAACCCATCAACATTAATAAAAATAGTTCATTTTTCATTTGAATCCTATTTGGAAAAGAAGCATACCTAATCTGGAGCTAGTAATCTGTGCCTTCACCTTGGATTATCAAGATTGGTGCCTCCCTTGGATGAGATGATCTATTCCGATTTGTTTGTTCTATTGAATAATTTTGGGGATACAGGCACATGTGATGACAAATAATTTGTTTTTAGATACAGCAGCATGTATCGTGTATGTTGCTTTTCTAGCGTGCTTTGCTAAGTACTTAAGGAGCTTGTAACTTTGGGCATATGGCAGACTCTGATAAGTTGATAGGTCATTTCTAAAGCAGATAAGCAAACAGTCCATGACAGCTTAGGATACTGTAGTACTTTGGTTTACGTGTCTTATGTGATGTTATTAAAGAGCCTGGTCATTTTTACTCGAATTAAAAGTTTACCATAGCACATTGCAACTGCTTAAAATCACCTGGGACTTGCTTATGTAACAGTCACACATTTGGCTTCTAAACAGTGGGAAACTGAGCATTTTATATAGCAGGTTTAGCTAAGTGTCATCTCTGTGAAAATATTGTGCTTATTTGATATTGTCACATCTTCCTACCCGTGATGTTTCTGGTTATTGTCTTTATTGCGGAGTGCATTGAATATTTTAGGATTTCCAAACTAAAATAAACTGTTAAACTGAACTATTAAAAAAAAAAAAGCAAAATACGAAGTATAGGAAAAATAATTAAATTAAGAATGAGCTGGCATACTTTCTAGAGGTAGTGCAATGAAAACACTTTGAGTCTCTTTCCCGTCATTTTTACACATGCTTGAATCAATGTACACTGTTCTATAATAAATTAAGAATCTGATGAGGAGAGGACAAGCATTTGTGTTCTGAAAGGTCACTTCCCTGATTGTGGACTAGATTTTTCTTTTGCTGTGTGATGGTCAGGACTTTATAACAATCCTATGGATAGAATAATTAACCATTACTTGTTTATTATTAGTCTCGCATGAGACCAACAACTCCCAATTAAAACACTGCCTAAATCAATTTTTATTTTTTGCTCTCACTGGTTGTCCATAACTTTTCTAGGAAAAAAAAAGACTTAAAAGTGACCTACCGCAAAACATTGCTGTGTGTTTATGTTTAAATTGCCAGCTGTGGCCTTTCCCAGATTTTCTTCATCCAAGATTTCCCTCTGTGCTTAGCCTTGCTTTCCCCCCTCCCTCCCTCAGAGTTCTTAAAATGGCAAATACTTAGGAGTGAAATGTTGCTCAATATTTGAGCTAATTCTGTGAATAATTCTTGTTCCAGTCAGATAATTTGAAGCGCCCTACAATGGTTTGGGAAATAAAGACAAACCAGATGCCTAGTACGGTGCAGAAAGTCCTGTTGGTTATGGACAAGAGAACGTCAGGAATGAACGAGGCACTGGACTTACTGAAGTGTAACGAGAATATTCCGTCTTCTCCTGGATATGCATCTTCTGATGAGCATATGGAACTTGGCAAGTATCCGTTCANCTTTCTTATCTATCTTGTATGCTTGTGCATTGGTATCCTTGTCTATTTCGAGTCAACCCTGGACAGCTCTGTGCTCTGCCCTTCTTATCTATTGAGCAAGGCTGTCTCTGGCGTCAGCGAAGAAACAAGAAACAGGGAAAAAAGTAAGGAGCAAGATATAACGAATTAAATTAGGACTAATTTGCAATAACTATATAATTATATCCCTTCATTCCTCCCTTTACTTCAGGACAGGATTCTTCCTGTCAATGATTGACCAGGCGGGGGAACTCTTTGGGGATGGTCTGGAGAACCATGACCTTTACCGGTTTCTCAGGAGAGTGAGTAGACACTGATGAGGCTATGACTGTCACCCCAGTGAGGGTGGACTGGACTACCACACTGGATCAGAGCAATGAAACAGGAGAGGAGAAGGAGACCTCCAAAGCTAACAGCACTAGAAACCCAATCCTTTTCCAACCAGAGAAGATTCCGCCAAATGAGTTGAAGTCAACTGCCCCACCCCAAATCTGCACTGGGACATGTGTAAGTTTCCTTATTCTGGTAGCCGACTCCTCTACAACTTTAAGAGAGTCATCAAATTGTAGGCAGCGGTTGTTAGGGTTGCATTTCCTGCAAACTCCACCTTCTTGAGCAAGCAAATGGTCTAAGGCGAGACGTTTCTGGTGGACAGCGGTAGGGATTTGGGTGTTAGACTTAGCAAGCAGTTCAGGGGCTGCACTCATAGCATTGGTGACAGTCTCAACATCAGCTTGAAGACGAATCAAGTGGTTTGGAGGCTGTCATCATTTCCCCAAGTCTTCTGGCTGGTAATCTGTAGGGACCTTTTTTGTCTTTGAACTATCTCATCATACGCTTGGACACCAAGTCTCTCTCCCTGAGCAATGGGTAAAAAGAGGAAACTGGGCTTGATGGTGCCCAAGGCAGAAGTCCCACTCCATTTCTCTGGGAGGGACACGTGGGCCTTTCCCCCACAAATCCAAAATAATCCATCTGGGGCTGGCCAGGACAAGGATGCATCATGTAGGCAGTCCCAGATGGAGGACAACTGCTTATAAGATGAAAATGGGTTATCAAGGCAACTTCCATTTGTCCCTGACCACCAGATGGTACTGTCATTGGCAGCTAATACATTTTGACAGATCAAGTCCCCCAAGGGGATTGTAAAAAGTTGTGTGCTAGTTCTGTGAAAGCAAGTGTTACTGATGATGGAGGTTTTCAGATTCCACTCACGGGGCCGGGCAACAAAGGACCAGGTGAGGTTCATTTGGTATAAGGTAGTCAGGTTTACTTCCCTAGACTCCCATGGCCACTGTTCTCCCATATTGGTTCCTCCATAAACATAGCAATTGGTTACATTGAGGGAGGACACAATTCTCTCAGCTAAATCTATAAAAAGATTTTTTGTTACTGAGGGAATGTCTATTTTTGTTTCCATTTCCTCATAAAATGAATGAAACACAGTAAACCAGTGGTCCCCAACCTTTTTATCGCCGCGGACCAGTCAGCCTTTGATAATTTTACCGTGGCCCGCTGAGCGCGCGCAGGGGTGGAGTGGCGTTGTTCGCGACGACACATTGATTTTTTTATATATCAGATTGTTTTGATTAAACAACTTTTATTTTATTGTATTTAAACAAGACTACTTAAAATATTTCTTTATTTAATTACTTGTTTACTTAGAAAGTAGTCCACTGAGTTCAATGAT